GTAGGGAAAAAACTCACACATTTTTCTACTAATTTCCATATAGAGTAGAAAAAACAAGTTTCGGTAAAAAAAAAATAAAAAAAATAAAAAAAAAAAAACATGAAAATCGTCCCTCTATGAACGTTTTGGAGCATTGAAATGACTATAAATATGTTGTGGTTCCTTATTATGAAACTTTTTAACTTTTTCTCTACAAATTTTTTTTTTACTGATCTAGAGAGTGAGTCAAAAAAGTTTCATGGAATAGTCATTAAAATTATAGCTCATGGAACTATTTCAATTTCCAGTTCGATGCAAAATTTTTGTTTTGAGAAACACTACATAAAGCCCTCACAATAACAAGTTTTTGTAATTAAAAAAAAAGCAAAGTAACACTAATATTGTCAAATGTTTTACAAATTCTTATGATTTCATAATTAATATGCTATTTTATATAATTTAATTAATATAAAATGGTCAAAATTAGAAAATCGATTTTTCGAGTGATTTTCACGATTTTAGGAGTCCACTGTAGCCTTAAAGAAGTCTAAATATTTCGAAAGCTACTTTTTTTTTTTTTAATAAAATGTATTTTGTACATTTTGAAATAAATAAATAAAAAAATATTAAAAAAAGTCACGAAAAGAGAGAAATAAATTCTTATCTGCAACGCGAACTACATCAAAGCTGTTTAAAATCGTTTAGTTTTGAAACAGATCGGATAAAAATTAACATTTCGTTTAACTTAATTCATTTAACTAGTATCAACTAAATTCAAAATATTACATAGAATAATGCGAAAATAAATATATATATATGTTTTTAAGTGCAATGTGATTCTGAAAATCACAGGGGAAAAAAATCACATCTTTTACTAAACAATCACTACCCTCTTCTTTAAAACAGTTACAGTTAAAGTCTTCTTAACACCTTTCCATCAACTACTTTCTAAGCTGAAGATGTAGGAAAAACACACACTGTATCTAATTCAATCTCTTCAACAAGTCTGTAAATACTATACCAAATGTCACTTCAACTTACATTTAGAATACTCTCCCATGATGGATGACTCTGTATTTATTTATATTCTCTGGAAAGAGGGGCGTTGAACACTAGAATTTTTCCGAATGTATGCATTACAAATGTATAATCGGTTTAGTGTTGCTTTCTTTCACAATCGAAACTTTGTTATGCGTTCGCGGTTCGGAACTAAAGTTGCTACGACATCTGCAAACGTAATTTGTTTGAATGTCACATTCGTAAAAATAAATAAATAAATATAAAAGGAACGAAGAGTCATTTATTTTAAAAATAATGACTGAGCGTTTAGGATTAGGGATCTGGCAACTTACATTTAACCTGGTGACTTACAAGATAAGGAATGGTAATATGCTCCGTTTCCAAAATGAATTTAAATCCCGTGAAGACAGTAAATTTTAATCAATAATTTTGAAATTGACTTTTGGAACAACTTCGATATCTTATAAATATCTTATATATCTTACTATATTTATTTTTATCATAAAATTATTTTAATACTATAAAGTAATATTATTAAGAAAGTTATGTATTCGAAAATGCTTTGTAGCCATTTTATTAAAAGTCCTATATTCCAACAAGTTATGCATGTTTAAATAAAAACGACTAATATTCTGCAATAATAATAAATTAAAAAAATGCATTGACTTTTGAAATTGACTTTTGGATCAACTTCAATATTTTATAACCAGATGTATACCATATTTATTTTTATCATAAAATTATTTTAATATTATGAAATAATATTATTAAGAAAGTTATGTATTTGAAAATGTTTTGTGGCCATTTTATTACAAGCCCTATATTCCAACTTAGTTTAAGTTATACATGTTTAAATAAAAGCGACAAATATTCAACAATAATAAAAATAAAAAAAAGGCATTGACTTTTGAAATTGACTTTTGGATCAACTTCAATATTTTATAACCAGATGTATACCATATTTATTTTTATCATTAAATAATTTTAATATTATGAAATAATATTATTAAGAAAGTTATGCATTTGAAAATGCTTTGTGGCCATTTTATTACAAGTCCTATATTCCAACTCAGTTTAAGTTATACGTGTTCAAATAAAAACGATAAATATTCTACAATAATAAAAAAAAATGATGTTAACTAATTAATTAGTTTCATGTGCTGTAAATTTTTAATCATATAGTAAGAATTATATCTCAAAATCATATAAACATCACTCTTATTGTGCGTCCATTTTTTTCAAACCTAGTTTTTATAGCGAGTCATATATCAATATCAGTTTGATTGAAATATCACTTCAATTAAATAAATAATAGTATTAATTAAAAATATGTATTACTGTAAATTTTAGACGATAATTTTGAAATTGACTTTTGGATCAACATCAACATTTTGTAAACAAGTGTATTCCATAATCTTTATTTTTTTTTTTCACCTTAAAAATTATTTTAATGTAATTGTTTAAGAAAAAGTGTCTTGGGGCCTTTTAATAACTGGTCGAGTCCCAGATTCCAACTCAGTTTAAGTACACATGTTTAAATAAAGGAGAAAAATTTTCTACAAAATATTTTAAAAAACAGACGCTATTAACTAAACAATTAGTTTTATGTGATATAATTTTTTAATCATATAGTAAGAATCATATCTCTTTATCATATGAATGTAATTACCACACTCTTATTGTGTTTTCTTTCCATTTTATTTCAAGTCTAGTCGCAAATTCCTGTTTTAATTAAAAATGTATAAAAAATGTGCTAAAGAACTTTAAACAGAACATGAAATTTTTATTGTTTTCTGCGCTCATTTTAATAAAAATCGCAGTTTAATTGAGTTCAACTTAGCTTCAAAAATCCGTTTAAATCTAAAAGGAGGACAAAGTAATTTGGAAAATATATAAAGGGAAAAAAATGGTTAAAGATAAATAGTAAGACTAATATTTAAATCACAATAAAAGGAACATAATTATAAAGGTTTTCGTGTCCTCATGTTAAAGTATAGAGAGTTTTTGTAATTTTTATTTTTATTATTATATAAAATGAAATATGTTAAACTAAATTAGCCTATCCGTCTGTGTAAAATAATTTACAGCTGAATTAAGTATAGCCTTCTTTCATTTACAAACAATAAATACTTTTAAAATGAGAAAAAGAACAAGCAATTCTAAATTACGGTTTTTCAATTTTGGAATTTTTCATTTAATTTTGATTTAAATGAGACTCTTTTAGAAAATACATTATTTTGCCATTCTTTTTCAAAATAGTTCTCTAATTTTAACGTTTTTGCTTAAACTACGGAATAAAATAAATATTAAGACTATTATGTATAACAATTATTCTACTAGCATACTTTTCGAAATCGTTTCCTATTTTTAAAATTATAATTCAGTTGTTGAATAAAATAAGATAAGATCATTTAGAGTAATAGGGTATAATAATAGGTTATTTTACAAAAATAGATTACGTTGCTATTCTTCTGTAATCCATTTTCTTATTTTAAAAATCATTTCAAAGCAGTGGAATGAATTAAAATTTGTTAAGACACTTTTAAGTAACTAATTATTCTATTATTCCTTTCGAAATTGTTTTCTATTATGAAAGATTATGATATAGTAGCTGAATGAAATAAGACATGCAACGTTTGGGTTGCTAACTATTCTACTAATTTTTTAAAAGCATTTTTTTTTTTTTTTTACAGTTACGTTTTAACTAAAAATGAAAAAAGAGTTTTTGGACACTTTATGGATAACAAGTTATTCTACAGCAATAATTCTTTTGAAATGTAGAAGCTTATTTTAATACTTTTCTTACTGAATAAACTAATAAACTAATTTACTGCATGAATAAACTAATTTTAGATGTATCAGATTCATCAAAATAAGTTTTGTTGCTAGTTATAAATTTCTTTTTATTACAATATGAACTTTAACATTTTGTTTCATAACTAGCAATGATTAAACCGATTTCGTTTGAAAGTTTTGACAAAAAACATTTTTTATAATGTTTGCTTGTAATTTTAGGATAACTGTTTTGTACTTGCCTGAAGCAGATGCAGTTAATTTTTTGAATATTTAAGGTCATCTCATTAGGTTGAGAATATTATTAAGACATTCTTGATTAAAAAAAAAAAAATGAAAAAAAAGAAGAAAAAAAAGTCTTAATTCCGCACCCTTCTAAAATAAAGCACTACTTCTTTTTTAAAGTAAACATTTTACTGCTTTCAAATAACGTTACAAAATTTTGTTCTTTTTTAGTATGAAAACGGAAAAATTACGTTTCTTTTAAACATAGTATTTTAATTTATTAAGCTTATCATTTAATGTTAATTAAATAAAAGATATAAAAAATTCCAAGCTAAACACTTTGTAAGAAAATTAAAAAAAAATGTCGAAAATTCCAAACGTTTTTCAAATAGGCAGTGTTATTAAGCATAATCCATTTTTTTAATTAAAACGGAAACAGCATAAAGATGAATTAATTAAATTAACTTGATTAAATTAGTATTATCTTTCTCTTTAATTACACTATACAAGTCTTTTGATATTTTACAAGAATATTAATACCGCAGAGCAATTTTTTAATTCCACCTCAATCAAAAAAAACAGAATTGAGGGGAAAATCATTAAAAAATAAAAACTCCTAATACCTTGCCTACCGTTGCTCCCAATAGAGGGCGCTGACAAACAACGCTATTCTCATCAAATATATACATTCGCTCAGCAAGCAGCCAGCATAAATATGCAAGCAGATATGTAATACGCATCCCCGTCGTAAAAATGGCGGATTCCAGACTACGAAACCGGAACTTCAAGAGGAAAAAAAATTATTTATAATTCGCCTGGAAGCATAAATGGAAAATTTTTCTGGCTAAATACGTCTGAAATAAATGGATTACTAAATTAGTTTTCGAACATGGAAAGTGCTGACGCATAAATTCTGAAAGAACGAGTTGTATTTTTTAAACCCTTTCGACGCGTGATTATGTATGCGTGGTTAACTCACTCACCGTGCGGTCTGTTTTAAGGGTTGACCATCACGAACACATTGGAAGATGGACTTCAATTCGGACAGTTGCTCTCGTCTTTTGTTTGTAACATCTGTGAGATTCTGAAATTTAAAAAATAAATTTTAGGTAAGCAAAGAAATGGTTTTAATAAAATCATTTTTTTTAAAAAATATATATTTTTTTTTATTGAATTATTTTTATTAAAACATATTATAATAAATTAAATGTAGTTAAATTTGGTAATATTGTGATTAGGTAAATAAGAATTTCATAAATATTGTAAATAGATAAAACGGAATATTGTAAATATTATGAATAATAAAAGGAGAGATAATTTGTGCAAATTATAATTTTAATTTTTTTTAATAATTGTAATTTAATTTAATTTTATGTGAGTTATTCTTACTTCATCTTACATTAAATGAAATAAGCAATGAATAGTTTTCATTAAATATTATGAATTTGTATCAATGTGTAAATAACTTATTTTATTTATTATAATTCAATTGTAATTCGAATTTTATGTAATATACTCTTGTTAAAAGAAAATAATTGTCATTCCAAAATTAAAAAAAGAAAAAACTGCGAAATAAATGCATTTTTAAGAATATTTAAGCTATTGTGAAACACAAAAATAATATTACATTAATCACAGAGTATTCGTTTATCTACTGAGTTTAATATAAATTTATTTATATGTAATAAATATACTATTACATTAAGTATATTAATTGACTTAAATGCAAATTTTACAAATTAATATTTTTAAAACGAAAATAAGTAGTAAAACATCGTATTAAATACATTCACATTTTATATGACCAAAAACAAAATTCATTTTTGAATAAATACACATTTTCTTCTCTGAACATAAGTAATTTATATATTGGTAAAAAAATTTTTAAAAAATATTGGTTTTTAATTATAAAATTGCTAAATTTTATATTGTTAAAAATTCACTTAATTGGAATATTATTAACCTATAAAATTCCGGCCAAACATAAATCAACTCCTACCATATAATATGTAGTCAAGATTATGAATTTAATAAACTTGCATTGTATATAAATTAGTAATGATTCATAGTCAAACTTGAATAACTTTAGAGTTAAACTTGAATAAGTATTGTTCACCTAAAAAACTGTGATAAAACATGTATCATCTCTCATCATTTCTTGATTATTCTAGTAACACTAAGAATCAATCTAAATACAAGTCTTTAAACTAAAATAGCATATAATCAAGATTATGAAATTAAATGAATTTAATGGTATACTTGAAATATTAATAAATTCATAATAATTTATTGTTAAACTTGCATAACTTTAAACTTAATAAATATTGTTCTCTATTATTCTAGTAACTCTAAGAATTCATTTAAATATAAGTGTTTACAATAAAATAACATATAATCAAAATTATAAATGAAGCGAATTTAATGGTAAACTTGCATTGTTAATTAATTTGTAATGATTAATAGTTAAGCTTGAATCACTTAGTGTTAAACTTGTATACTTTGTTCATCTTACGAACATCATCTAACATGTATCGACTCTCACAATTTTTTTTATTATTCTAGTATAACACTTAGAATCTTTTAAATTATGGTGTTCTAACTAAAACAACACATCTAAGAAGATCAAGATATAAAATTAAAGTAATTTTATGGTAGTTAGTAACTGTACACTGGATATATATGTATTAGCATATTGCATATATATTGGTTATTTTACGGTATTGATATGTATAACATCTGATTAGTGTATAATACATATAAACTGAATGGTTAGTTGATATTATAAAATCATTCAAATTTTATAAAATTGATTACAGTGATTGTCATAATCTTACTTTCTTCAAAATATTCAATCTAATCAATTAAGATGGTTATTATGAATAATTAATAACCAAATAACTATCATCATAAGTAATCAAAAGACCTTTATTATTTGGAAATGAAATTATTGTGAATAATAATAAGTTAATGTAATCAATTGGAGCAGGCTATAAATGGTGTATGATTAATAGGTTAAAATGATAAAATCGCAAACATTTCAACTTATTACTGATACTTTTTACATATTAAGTAAATTATAATGTTAACAGCAATTATTGCTTTGCTCTAGAAACATAAAGTTGATTTTTGAAGATAAAAATCATTTTACTATTTTTTAGCATTTAATTATTTATAAAAAATCAAATTTATTAACTTTTGACGCTATCTACTAGCATTTAATTATTTATAAAATTCAAAATCTAACATAAATAGTAACATATTTACTCATGCATGCTGCAAATATGTAAATAAATACCTATCAAAGACAACCTTAGCTATTTTTGCTCGAATATATATTTCTTGTAACTTGCAATATTGATTTAGTTGAATTGACTATGTTAATTTCTTTTTCGCTTGTAGGTATGATTTGTTGAGAATCGTAAAATCAAATGAAAAATAAACATTCATTTTTCTAAATATCATTACACAAGGCATACCTATCTACTAAATCATACCTACACAAGGCATACCTATCTTTCTATCTACTGAATCCATTGTATGCATTAATTGTCATATACCAGCTTTAATCTATTATTCCAATTTCCATTCCATATCTATACAACCAAAATGTGCTTAGCGCAACGTATATGTTTTAAAATAACATTATACACATAAACCTTTTTCTATCAAAAGATGCCTGATTTAAAACTCAATGTAATACCGACACATTTTTATAAATAAAAAAAAGTATTTTATTTTTTCCACTGACTGATGTTTTCTTGAAAAAAAATTGTTTCGCAGGGAACAAAATCGAAGATAAACTGGAAATCGAGCAAAATATAATTGATGAATGGTGAAAAAGAACAATTAAACAAAATTAAACAATTTGATTGAATTTGAATATTAGGTTAATTCAGTTGCTAACAGTACTTTTTCACAATAGTTTACAGTTCCTATTTTCTATAATCTCATTGATAAGCCTAGCAAGGTTTCATTATTCTTTTGTGCAACTTAAATCAGGTTCGAATTTTTGCAATCTCCAAACACGAACATCCGTTTTTAAACTAATTATACAAAAATTAAGTTAATTTGTAAAAATATTTATAATTTGTCCTATTAATAAGTAACAAAAAAACGCTGAATAATACAAAACGTGAATAAAGCACAGATAAAGGTTCAAAAAAAGATACGACACGAATGAAGCACAAATAAATGGCACAAAAAGGGACATAAATAATCACAAATAGAGGTACAGAAATGGGCAAAAATAAGGCACAAGTAAAAGTACAAAAATGGATAAAGCATGTGGTTTTGCACAAGTGACACCAATTATAATCCTATCTTCATTGTAAGTGAAAATTACATTAATGTAAATGTTTTTAAAAAAAATTGCTCAAAAGCGATATTAAAAGTAACCGCATGTTATGTAACTTTTATGAATATTATGTCCTATTTTTCAAAAAAAAAAAAATATTTTTTTATTTTTGTAACTATACCTTATTCAAAAATAGCGCATATAACCGTTTTTGTCATTTACTAATTAACTTCACGTACAAAGAGTTATACTGAAAAAATTGTACATAAAAAATCTGTAAATCAAGATTTTAACTTATAAAATCGGTTACAAGAGTTAATTAACCTTTTCATTAAATAAAGTAACTCACTCAGGAAAGACCTAATTCCAAATATATTTTGTTTTTTCCTTTTCTAATTGTGCATCATCTTCCGTTGTGAATGATTCATGATGAATCATGGACCCAGCATATTCTTATCCCTTCCGTGTACATAATTCAAGGAAAATCTACGGCAATCCTTTATTTATGATTACAGACAATTCATTTCTAATTAAGGAAGTCAACTCCAGGTGTAAATGTTTTATCACTTTTAAGATAAGTTAGTGTTTGCCAGATAAATTCTCAATTCCTTAGTGTTATTCTATTATCCTTCGAAAAATCAAAAATTTTACTTATTACTCTAAATAGACAAAATCGTAGTTACAGTTAGGAAATATAATCGCCAAGTAGTAATAATTATAAGTCGAGATAAATAAATTAAAAAGTTATAAAATAAGTAAGGATAATAAGTAAGATAAATAAATAAAAAAAAACAAGTAAGGATCAGTAAATTAATTTTCATAATTTATTTTAATGCGTGTCTATGTATATTTATAAATTTTTTCGCGTTTTATTTATTTTATGATAAATGCATTAATTGGTTTGATTATGTTGAAATTATTCAAATATAGTATAAATTAAAAAATCGGAATGGCCAATTATTTTCTGTCAATACTTTCAGTTGTTTATTAGGGAGAATATTTCCACTCATATTGATATGTTGATACATATTCATATAAAATAAAGATACAGATATTTCTCTAATTCAAAAAAAAGGGTAAAATATTTTTAAAAAAATATTGATGATTTTTTTCCTTAAATTTATCAGAATTTGCGTTCTTAATGTTTTAAAGATAACTGTGTTTTTTTTAATAATTTTATATCATGCATCTTTGTCTTGATTAAAACTTTTAAATAATTTATAAAAACGATAGAAGTTTATCAGAATTACAAGTATAAATTAACTTTTAAAATTTTAACTATTATATATTTGCATAAGTCTTGGCTAAGACTATTTTGCATAAATGCTTAGATTCGTTATTAATAATTTATTTAATATAGATTATATCTTACCCATAGTTCATTTTTAATTCACTTATCTTTTCGAAATTTAAGATTGTTAAGTTTGTTTCGTATGAAATTCGCAAAAATGTCTATTTTAAATACTTTCTATTTAGCTAAAAAATATTCTTTCATCTTATTTTATTCATACATTTAGTCAAATACATTTCAGTTTATTTACTAAAGTCTTAAACTATTACTATTGAATTGAATTCGTTAATTTTCACTTATATTTGTCATTAACTAGTTTGAAAATTTTTTAAACATTTCATAATTTTACTCTTATTGATAAAGAGATTATCCACTAACTAATGTAAATAAAAAAGATCGTAATTTGTTAATTTTTGATACTGTTTGTCTTTAACTATTCTATAAGTTTCCAATTTCTACTATTTCATAAATCAATTAATTCTACTTTATTATTTTCTTT